TGCATGCTCTCATTTTTGTTCAAAATGATTTGGTTTGCTCGGAGACTGGCTTGTTGTTCATCATCTACATGCCGAGTTTCGTTAAAAATTGCCGGACCTTGTTAAAATTTGCCGGTCTTCATTCCTAAGTAATTTTGTTCATAATCTGCTGTTGTGCATATCACGGTAAGGAAGACATTAACGGGAAGGAGAGAATTGGGATTTATACATTACCGTGATAAAATAACAAGATGGCAAAAAAGGTGAGGAAGACATTACAGCGGCCTCAGATGGAGGAAAATCGCGAGACGTCCAGCGAAGGAAATTTGCGAGACTCAGCGGCAATGGGGATTTCGACAGGAAGAAGTTCGTCCGGTACAGGTGCGAAGGAACTTTTATTTGGTACGTTCACTGGACCAGAGGAAGGTTCGGTTTTAGGCAAAAAAGTGCCTGTACCGAGTTTTTTTTAAAAAATACCTAGTTTTTTGAAAAAACTCGGTACAGGCCTTTTTTGCCAAAAACCGAACCTTCATCTACATCCAGTGAACGTACCTAATAATTACTCGGTGCTGCGAAGACAGGTTTGGGGCGGGAAAATAGACGTCGTGAGGAAGGCGTTAGATGGAGCGGTAGAAATGATATAAATTATGGATTTGAGTGGTATATATGTAATATTAATGTATGAGGTGTTAGATATGTAAAATACTAAGTATATAGTGATATGTATGTAAATTTCCCTAATTTCAACTGAACTGAGCGTTTCAAATGGTCGTATGGTATGGTTACCTGGCGGCGCATGTTAAGCTTTTCGCGCCGTATAATAAGATGGGTCAATGGCTCAATGCTCTAACCATAAGCAGCAAGTAAGAGTGTGCAGCAAAGTTTCTTCTTCTTCATTTTCCTCCTTAGGTAAAGACCTTCGTGCTTCATCGAGAAGAACTTCTAGGTTTTTCTTGTTTTCTCCTGAATGTTTTAGGGATTTGTGTTCATCTTTATCGCATTGCTATTACGACTTTACGAGGTTTTTTTTTTTGTGATTCTAGCTCTGTAAGAAATGATCTGCAACTGATACTTTTAGAGTTGCAGTAATCTTTTGAGTAAACGGCTTGCATTTTCAGTAAAAGTGTATTACCTAGTTGCTTGATGGTCTTCCTCTTAGTACTAACTTCTTTGTTGCTTTTCTTCAAAAAAAAAAATAAATAAACTTCTTTTTTGCTTGAATGCTTTGCTAGTTCTTCGATCAATGCATTTATTGTGTTGAGTACGAAGTATTTAACATTCACGCTTTCGATTTGAAAAAAAAAAAAACTTATTTAAGGAATGTTAATTGTTATATATCACATGATAATCTTCCAAAATTACTATCAAATTCTTTTATATTTGGCCAACATATTTAGGTATCCAGTAGCATAATGTTTTAGAACTTCAGGCCTTCATCCATCATCTTCATCATTAGCGTGATACATCACAAAAAATCGCCTTAATGGAGCACGATTCTTGAGGCAATTTTGAATGGAAGCTTTCAAAATTAAGTTTAGGATTATCCAAACTCCAATTTCAACAAACTTATAGCCGAACTGAGCATCTCAATGAGATAAATTGAACGACACCAAAATTAGTCCAATCCAAATCCAAATAGACCCAAATCAAGGCTTTGAAGCATATTTGAAAACTTCAGGACACTTATTGGATGATCAAATGATATCTAAATATGACATGTTTATAGTTGAATTGAGCGGATCGACGAGGCTAACTCAACAAGCTTAAGATCACTTAATTCTGACATCATTAAAGCACTTACATGCTGAAGAAATGATTTATGATTGAGGAAATTAATGCAAGATGTCTGATAGAGTGTTTCAAATTTGCTCCAGATTTTCTTCATATTTATTGAATATGTCTCTCCAAAAAATCTATAAATAGTCCCGCACTTCCCACATGAAAGGGAGTTTGAACCCTTAACTAGAGAGGGAAGAGAGCTCTGAGACTTGAAAATTTTGAAGACTCCACTCAAGTGCAAACCCCAGCGAACCTTCGCCATCAGACCTCTGCCAAGTCACCATCAGACCTTTGCACGACCTTCGTTGTTTGACTTTCGTCGGCCGACAATTGACTCTCGGACATCAGCTCAACTACCACCATCGAATTTTCACTGGCCAAGCACTGACCTTCGGACATCTGCCCAACCTCTGCCATTGGACTTTCGCCAACCGACCACCACCAGCAAACTCTCGCAAGTTGAATTCCACAGGACTTTAGCCTTCTAACCACTATCATTGGACCTCCGCGAGGTCGTCGCCACCAGTCTTTTGCCTAGTTGCACCACTGGACCTCCACTCGGCCGACACTGTCGAACTTTTCCCTGCTGACCATCACCGTCGAACTTTCACATGTGGTTAGTGACCGTCGAACCTTTGCCACCCCATCCCCATCGACCATGGTCCTCGGACCTCTGTTGCCTGATTACAATCCCTTCATCATCGTTCGACTATGGTTTCTCCGCCCTCCGTCGGCTGACTCTGATCCTTCTGACTGCTGTCGTCCAACTCCGATCCCTCCGACCACCATCACTGGACTACGGTCCCTCCGACCTTTGTCGTCCAACTACAATCTCTATAACCACAGTTACCCGGCTATGGTCCCTATGATCTCCTTCACTCGACTACGGTCCCCCTCTGACCACCTTCGCCTGACTACGGTCTATCCGACCTCAACCACTCGACTAAGGTCTCTCAAACCACCATCCCCCAACTACAGTCCCTTCGACCTCTATCGTCCAACTACAATCATGCCGACCAAATGAACAGGCCAATAATATCTTAAGAATAACTCTCATGCCATTGGATTCTTCCAACTCCAACCATGTAATGTGATTTATACGATATCTATTTACTACATTGTATCAACGCCTTCCCCTGAGAAAAGACGTCATTTGCAATTAATGATAAATGCTAGTGGAATTATTTCAACTTAATGAGGCCCACTTGTTTTTCCTTTTTTCAAAAATTTTTATGTAAATATTTTAATATCTCTTATGATTCTTGCACCCCTCTCTATTATGTGTGTATGTGCTTGATCTGCGTACAAAATTAGGATGTTAAACTCTATATCTTTCTACCGCCGCAAAAATTTTAGCACACAACAAGGGGCATAATGGTCAACATGCATCACAAAAACGATTTGGCATATTTTATTCATCTTTCAATCTACTAAACAATTAAAAAAAAAAAGCAAATCAAAGCACAGCTAAATATAGCTATGGTTCTTAACTACCATAAATTAAATTGATTCATTGATTTGGACATATCTGTGTGAGAAGGCACTAGATGTCTAAATGAATAAATCAACTTTGTTGCTTGTAGGCAAGAAATATGACTAAATTTAACAAAATGTGCTTTAATTTAGTATATTTTAATTGTTTGGTGGATTGAAACAAAGATGAAATATGTCACATCATTTTTAAGATGCATGTTGACCATTATGCTCTTGACGATGACGATGGATGAAGCCCTCAAGTTTCTAAAGTTTTATGCTATTGGATAGCTAAATTGGTTAGCCAAATATAAAAGAATTTGATACTAAGTTTAGAAGATTATTATGCGACATGTAACAATTAAGATTCCTTAAACAAGCAATTTAGCTATCCAATAGCGTATATATATATATATATATTATTTAAAATTAAGTGGTTCGTTTGTAAATCCCTTAAATTTTTATATAGGATATCTTCATTAAAAATTAATCAAGACGAATTCTGAAGCTAACAAATTTGCTTTGAGATGAGTAAAATGTACAAGTAATATATAAATTCAAGTGTTAGATAGTTAATATATCTAGAAATTTTGTGGCATTTATGTAAATTCATTTGCATGCCAAGTGCTCACACGGTATCGTTGCCATCACGATGCATGTTAGTCTTCTCTACTATGATCTTTAGTTGGATCTTTAGAATCAATTTATTCTCGATCATAAAGCCAAAAATGGTTAGGTGTCTTTTTTTCTTTTTTTTTTTTAACTTAAAACCCTCCATGCTATATGTACAGGGTCTCAATCTAAAAATCACCATATTTATTTCTCTTTTCATGTTTTTGATTTATTTTCTGACGTAGAAGTTGGATGTTTTGTTTTTAATTTAGAATGGTTTAAATAATCTCTTTTTAGTTACCATAATATTTGATTGATTACCTTTTTTTATTGATTACTGATTTTTCTTTGTATGAATCAACAATGTGATTGGGTATCTAACATATTCCTTCCCATGAATGCAAAATGATTATCTACTGCCAATTTGTGCATTTCCGAATGTTATATGCTGATCAGTTAATCACTCTCACATTTCCTCATAATGTCTCTAGATTATTCATTTGACAACCATGGAACCTGATAGTGCTTCCAAGAAAGGAAAGGAGCTCCCTCTTCCTCGATTGATACCCCCACATGTTGTTCCTTTGAAGGAAAATGGTTTCCCTCTCAAGAAGAGAAGAGTTCAGATGGCAAGACCAGGACTTGCAGAGAAAGGCCAATCGATAGCTCTATTAACAAACCATTTAAAATTTTCTGTCCAAAATATAGATAAACACTTCTTTCACTATAGTGTATGCTATCTTCCCATGAAGTTCTTGTATTTTATTCGGCAGTGCAATTGTTGTTCATGGCATAATGATGTTGTTATTACTGATGAAGGTTAACCTGAAAGATCAAGACGGCCAACCTATAGGTGGGAAGGGTATTGGAAGGAAGGTTATTGATGAGATGGAACGAACTAATAAAACTGAGCTCGGAAATAACGGGCTTGCCTATGATGGTGAAAAGGCTTTGTTCACAATAAGCCGTCTACCTCAGATAAACAATGAGTTCCCTGTTATGTTAGATAACATTCCAATTTATGTTATATTTTATTTATACTTCATGTAAATGAAATCTTATCCACCTATTTGATTTTCATGTGAAGCATAGATTATGGGGAAAAACGTTTAAAGTTGAGCTTAGCTTAGTTGCTAAAATTCCCATACAATCCATTGAGAGTTCTAGTTATCAAGAAGCATTGAGAGTTCTAGTTATCATGCTAAGGCAGCACGCAGTAAAGAAGTACTTATTGCAAAGTGATTATATTTTTTTTTTATGTTGAAACTTATATTTGAATCACAGTATCTGTTCTGTTCTATTTCTGTAGAGGTTGTCATCTAGTTCGTCGGTCCTTTTTCCATGATAATCAATCCAACTATACAGATTTGGGTGGCGGTGTAATTGGTTGTAGAGGTTTTCACTCAAGTTTGCGTCTTGTGCAAGGTGGCCTTTCCTTAAACATTGGTAAGCTCTTGATCTCACCATCAATATCATTCTTTTGCTTGTACTGAATAATTGGGAAATTCATATACTTACCACTTTATATCATCATATTTACATATCTAACATTCAAAACATTAATATTACATACATATCACCCTATATTATTTTAATATCAAATATGTCACTCATATTTCCTTTCTACCACTCATATATTTCATTTCTACCGCTCATATTCGATATGAAAATGAACTATGTGTGGTATGCATGTAATATTAAAGTTTTAGGTTTTAAGTACGTAAATAGAGAAATATATGATGATATGTATCTAAATACTGTAGGCTTGAACTATTCTGTTACTGCAGATGTTTCTACCACCATTATTGTTAGACCAGGGCCAGTAATTGACTTCCTTATTGCCAACCAAAATGTGAGGGATCCTTTACAAGTTGACTGGGGAAAAGTAAGTTGGTGGCCTTCAATACAATCTCACATAATGGGAACTTGTTTGGTAAGAGTGGTGATTTGCTGCTCAACCTGTTATGCAGGCGAAGCGGACGCTGAAAAATTTACGAGTAAAGATAAGAGACATGGAATGCAAAATTACTGGTTTGAGTGAACTTCCATGCAACCAGCAAACGTAAGATTTCTTCTCGTGAATTTTTTTGGTAAATTGTTTGCCTTTATTGTGATGCTTGACTTCTAAATTGTGCTAAACCTCTTCTTTTTATAAAACATACTTGAGTTTGCTCTATATCTTTCATCCGGACATTATTTTTCTGGGATTTTTACATACATAACACCTAAAACTATTGAAAATACATATTTAACACCTAAACTTTTATATTTACTAATATACCACCTAAAATTTCTTTTTCCTTCTATTCTACCACTCCATTCAAGCGTGAGATACTTGTATTCACTGTAAAAGAATGCCATTGACAGGGAAGACAGTCGTTGATAGTGATTTTTGATGGAAGGTTTAAACGGAATGTTAGAATTGATTAAAAGAGTGGTTTTAGACGGTATATTAGTAAATATAGAAGTTTAGATGTTAAATATGTATTTTCAATAGTTTTAGATGTTATGTATGTAAAAATTCCTATTTTTCCCGGTTAACCTTCACATTCATTTTATGGCTTACTCTATTCCTCATCTTACTTCAACTTATTCTGTTATCAAACCTGTAGGTTTACATTCAAGCCAAAAGGTGATTCTGAGGTAAATGCTATGGAGATAACTGTCTATGAATACTATGTGAGCCATCGTAGGACACCATTGAGCTATTCTGCTGATCTCCCATGCATTAAAGTCGGGAAGTCTAAGAACCCCGCCTATTTCCCGATTGAGGTTTATTTTGCCACCTTGATTTTGATTTCAGGTCCATTTATTGTTCGTCTTTCCTTCAGATAAATGCAATTTATTTCTCATGCTTATGAACTTGGATTTTGTAATTGCAATGTTTTAGGTCTGCAATCTGGTATCTTTGCAAAGATACACAAAAGGACTGACAGTTCAACAACGAGCTTCTTTTGTGGAGAAATCAAGGCAAAAGCCTCAAGAAAGAATGTCATCCATAACTAATGTGGGTTTTCTTGATCTTTGCAACATTCGTTTAACCTAAATCACTTTCGTAAATGTTTCAATTAATTCCTTCCTTTTTCTTTGTTAGGCCTTGAAATATATGAAGTATGATAGTGACCCTATGTTACAAGTATGTGGAGGTTCCATCAGTCTCGACTACACTCAGGTTGAGGGGCGTGTTTTACAACCACCTAAGGTTGTTTGTTCATATTTTTTTTTGGTATTTGATGTTGTTATTTCTAAGAATTTGTTCTGCGTGCACTATAACTTCTTTCGTGTTTTGTTCTTTCAGAAAATACCCGGTTCATTCTTTTTAAATTATTGAGAAAAGAGCTAAATTGGTCCCTCAACTCTTTGTGAGGGATCAAAATAGTCCCCAACTTTTTTGAAGGATTAATTTAGTCCTCAACTCTTTAAAATGGGATATTTTTTGTGCTAACATTCAATGTTATAGTTAATGGTATTAAATGTAAGAGTATTTTGATCATTTTTAATTAAACATTTATTAAATGTAATTTTCAAATAATTATAATTTTTCTAAAAAATTTTATTAAACATTTCCTTAATAATAATTTTAGTTTTAATTTCAAAAAATTTTGTTATATTTTATAAAATATGATATTTATTGATTTAGAGAAATCAAATACAAATAGATGTCATTTTCAACTTAGTCACTCATATTTTATAAAATATGGTTTAAATTTTTTAAATTAAAAAACAAAATTATTATTTTTTTATTAAAGAAATATTTAATAAATTTTTTTAGAAAAATATTAATTACTTAAAATTTATATTAAATAAAATTTTAATTAAAATTTGACCAAATTACTCTTATATTTAACACCATTAACCCCAACATTAAATGTTAGGACTAAAAAAATCTAATTTTAAAGAATTGAGAGACTCAAAGAAGTTGAGGACCATTTTGGTCCCTTACAAAGAGTTGATGGATCATTTTGATCATTTTCTCTTAAATTATTTCTTAATTCATTTTTAGCATTTCCCTTGGTGCAGCTGATATTTGGAAATGGTGAAGAATTTCTACCAAGAAACGGCCGCTGGAATTTGTACAACAAGGTTCTTGTATCTTCACTATTTCACAGTGGCTTATTCTTCACAATGATATACTTTTGCTTCTAATGTTTTGTTTCTCTTTCTCTAGAAATTATTTACACCAATCGAAGTGGATTGCTGGGCCGTTGTGAATTTCTCTGATCGAAGTGACACAAACAGTATCATACACGACCTAATCACATGTGGAAGCATGAAAGGAATTGTATGTTTTCATGCTAGTTTCAAGCTTTTAAATATTGCCATTTTTAATTTGTCAGGTGTTAATTGACTATCATTTTGATGGCAGACTTTTAAACAGCCCCTTTTTGTTTTTGAGGAAAATCCTTATATGAGGAGGGCCCTTCCTGCAGCAAGAGTGGAGGATATGTTTTATCAAATCATGACAAATCTACATGAACCTCCAAAATTTATTCTTTGCCTTCTATCATCAAAGAGAAATTCTTTAATCTATGGTATGAAATTTCTCCTTAATTTACTTTCTATCTGAGAAAAAAATTATATTATCTATGGTGTGGATCTTGCAACTTTCAAAACTTCATGATGTTTTGAGTTGTTGAATCTATTTGATGGGTGGGCATACTATATATGGTAGGTCCTTGGAAGAGGAAGTGCCTTGTGGAATTTGGAATTGTGACACAGTGCATGGCACCCAAAAGAGTCGATAATCAGTATTTAACAAATTTGTTATTGAAGATTAATGCCAAGGCAGGCATTTGGTTGATACACTTCAGTTTTGCTTCACTCTTATTATTTTGAATCTGCTTTTATTTAAATATTAATACCTGACTTCACAGCTTGGTGGTATGAACTCCTTATTACAGCTTGAAAACATTACTGCTTTTCCTATTGTCTCAAAGGCTGCTACTATAATTTTGGGAATGGATGTTTCTCATGGTTCTCCTGGAAGATCTGATGTTCCATCAATTGCTGCAGTAATGTTCTGAGCATGCTTATAATTAATTCCTTTACAAGGGATATTTTAGTAATCTTACCTTTTTTAAGTTTGAGAATGATGGCTAGCATTTTACTTGCAATTTGTTTTCATACGTTTCTATCTGTCAAGTACACATCTAATTAAGTGTATATATAGATTGAGGTTTCGTTTGGGACAGCTTTCGTAATGTTTTTTTAAGTAGCTTTTAAGTATAAAAAATTTAATTTTTATATTAAAAAATTGCTTTAAGAAGTAGTAAGAAAACCGTCTTAAATGAAGCCTCACTGATAGATAGTTTTGTATTTATTTTCCTTCTGTTTTTATGTGCTTGATGTCTTATGATGCTTTTTGGGTTCATGACTCCCATGATAGGTCGTCAGTTCAAGGCAGTGGCCATTGATCTCCAAATACAGAGCATCAGTTCGAACACAATCACCTAAGGAAGAGATGATTGATTCCATATTTAAACTAGTTTCTCGTGCTGATGGTAAGGGCACTTACGATGATGGAATTATTCGGTAAGCATTTTTATGATACTTAAGTTTTTACTCTTCTGAGTTAATGTTTTTTTTTTTCGGAAAATTTGAGAAACTAGCCCAATTTCATTGATATAAATTTAATTAAAAAAGGGAAAGCCCAGATCCAATTCAAACAAGGAATACATCCAGTAAGAGCTGCATCAAAAATAAAAAATGCGCAAAAAGATAAATTAAGAGAGTAAAATTCTCGGTAAAAATCAAAAGATTTGGAAATAAATAAAAAAACCCAAATAATACAAGAAAACCAAGGAAGGAGTAAACTGAACTGGACTCATTCTGGTTATAATTTATGTTTTTAAACCGACTACTTTGAGCATTAGCTATGTCTATTTTATGTCTCATTCATCGTCTTTTTAATATGACGTCTTCTAAACTACAGTGAAGCTTTTGTCGAATTTTACTTCAGTTCTGGGAAAAGAAAGCCCGATCAGATTATTATTTTCAGGTAAATTTCAGTGCTATGATGTAGCTCTTATACTATGTTTCATCTGCTATAATCATTTATCTTTTAGGTCTGCTGGTCTTTTTATACCTCGTTTCTCTTGATTCATGTTCTGTGTATTAAGTCTTAATTCTGCAAACCTTGATTAGGGATGGTGTTAGTGAGAATCAGTTCGACCAGGTTCTTTATGTTGAGCTAAATCAGATTAAAGAGGTAATTTTGTTTTGCAACATACAAATGTTATAATCCAGCTAATTCATATATGTAGTTTCCTGGAACAAGTTATTTAATTTTGCATTTATTTTTTGTTAAAATATTGAATATCAACTGAAAGTTCATTTGATTGGATACAAATCTCGAGGTGCTATTCAAATGAAAAACTTCTAAAATTATACTCGGGATCATCCTAACTCTGATTTCAACAAATTTTTAATTGAACCAAACATATCAACAAAACAAATTCATTGGCACGAAAAGTGAACCAATTTGAGATCACTTTTTCATGAAGTGTTTTGAGATGTTAGCTAGATTTACCAAAATGTCACAATAAAAAAATTATAGATAAACATCCATTCTCTAGATGAAGGGGACTAAGGATTAGATGGAGGTGAGAGCTTAGATATTTAAAGAACCTTAGAGCACTATCCAACCACTATTGTCAAAATACTACCATTGGATCGCTAATGACCCAACCATCACTATCAGACTACCACAATTGGACCACCACCTTATGACCACTTTCGCCGAATTGTTGCCTCCTTACTATCATCTCCCAACTACATTCTTTGACTATTATTGACAGACTACAGTCTCCCATGATCCCATCCACTGTAGTCAATTATAGTCGCCTAACCACTTTCGTCTGACTAAAGTCCCCCAACCACCCTTACCTAGCTACGGTTTTCCAACCACGGACCAACATCAACTATGCTGCCACATCCCAAGTCCGGAAGTCGGTACACCTCGATAACACGGGATGCGATGAAAGAATATAAATATATGTGATGAGGACATCTGATTGTGGAAAGTTTATCAGAGAAGAGGCCGAAGATCTACGACCATGATTGGACCACTTTATTTTTTAGTTATTATTTGTATTTGATTTATTTATGCATTTTCTCTTTTTAACCCTCACTTGAGGGAGTAGGTTCATGTGACCCCAGGGGGCACATTGGTCTTTAGAGTTGTTATTATATTTTGGCTATTTATAGCCCCCCTTCTCCTCTTTGGAGGATGATGATTATTATGAGAAGAAAAATTCTGCACTTGGTGTTTGAGAGCTTGAGAGTTATTGTGAGAGTTGAAGTCCCTATGTGAGGGCAATGTACTATCCATCAGCCGCATGAAGCATCTAGGCTTGTGGTCCGTTTCCTTCCCCATCTTCTTCTTCTTATTTCTCCTAGTCGCCACCCCATCCTCCTTTCTTTTTCCCTGGGCCGAAATTCCCCACCTAAACCCTAAGCCGACCCCTACGTTTCCCCTTCTTCCCTTGGCCGAACTCCACCGCACACCCTAGGCTGACCCCCATCCAACCATCGGCCCCACCTCCCTTCCCTAAGCCGCCAACCCCATCAACCCTCCTCTTGGATCCAAATTCATCCAAGCATTTATTACTTTTCTAAATTATCTCATTATAAATTTGGAAGTTCAATTAATTCAAATTTGAATTTATTTGAATTTGAAATTTCTTCCTTAAATAAAATGAAAAGGTTCCTCCAATCAAGGCCATTTAAATTTGAGTTTAAATTAAAGAGATAATTGTATTAAATTCTCTTTCTTAATTTAATTTGGCTTAAATTGGCAACTCATTTAAGCCCATTAATTCCCTCAAATCTACATTAAATCATGTGAACCCCTTCCCTTCCTCTCTTGGCCACCCCCTCCTCTCTCTCTCTCATCTACTTATGAGATCCATTAAAGCTCCCCAATCAATCCATCAATTCCCTATCTAATTGCCCCCCTCCCTGAAAAACTTCTAAAATTATACTCGGGATCATCCTAACTCTGATTTCAACAAATTTTTAATTGAACCAAACATATCAACAAAACAAATTCATTGGCACGAAAAGTGAACCAATTTGAGATCACTTTTTCATGAAGTGTTTTGAGATGTTAGCTAGATTTACCAAAATGTCACAATAAAAAAATTATAGATAAACATCCATTCTCTAGATGAAGGGGACTAAGGATTAGATGGAGGTGATGTGGACCTCCGAAAGAGCACCGTGCGAACGGGTCTATTGGAAAGGACAGATTGAATCGTGCATACGACAAACCATTGAGGATAGAGGCTCTCGCCAACACACCCCGATGGGTAATAATATACACAACCTAATCACGGGTTTCCCCCACCCGATATGACAGCTCGAGTGGGGTTTTAGTAGATGTGAGGCCAAGTTTCCCACGGGCGCAAGCCCCCGTGGTTAATTACATCCCAGGCCGAAGCCCGAGAAAACTCTCGATTAAGGATCATACATTATCCTTTTCTAAAATGGGATTGGCACGAGAGTGACTAGAAAGTTCCTACTCAAAGGGAAGAAGTGGCTCAAGTGGCTTAGTCAACATGCAAGGCTCAGATCCACACTCGGAGGGAATAAGGCAGTTGAGGAGGAAAAGAAAATCATGCACTCAAAACATACAGAGAGAGAAAGGATAGAAGTGGCGCCATCTATATGACGCAGATAAGCAGGATTTATAGTCCCTGAAGAGAAGGGACCTACCCACTATTTAGGCATACTACTAGACACCCGATGTAGTAGCCCTGAACCCTAAATCTAAGATGGTTTTAGTTTTTTTTTTTAACTTAGAGTATTACCAATTTTATTTATTAGTCATTAATAGATTAAGACACGAATCATAGGAAAATGTGTCACTAAGTTTTCTATGTTTTAAAGTCTCTATCCTAAAAGGAACATGCACCCTAAGTCTATGTTATCAAAGACTCAGTCCTTAATTTTTGTTCTTAGGTGTCACCAAAATTATCGGACGAAAAAGAAGTTTTTCTAACCCTTAGAACAACCTCGCAAGACACAGAAAAGCAAAGGGTTGTATTAGCTAGAGCACGTTCTATAGTATGAGCAAATAATAGCAAAAATGGAAATGCAATTGAATAAAAAAAAAAAAGAAACGTACCTTTTTGTTATGTGCACATCGGGTGGGTCACTTGCTATTTGGGTTCTAGTTTTTGCGAGCATTCCTTCTTAAAGCGTAAATAAAAGACCGACAAAAAGACTAAAATCAAAGCAGAAGACAACTAAACGCAATAGAAAGAAAAGAATAAAAAAAAGGAATGTAGGCATTGTTATTGTTGGACACACTTCTTTGAAGTCAAGTGTGCCACTAAAACGACCTTTATCCCGATTCAATGTGATATGAATAGGGAGGAAGGAGTTTTGAATGTCGTTTGCTGTCCCCACGTTCCAAACAAATCACTCAAATAATACCCAACTCAAATAACCAAAATACTTTCTAAATAAAGCTCAAAGTGATGAAAGAGGAACAAGTTCCCAAAACTAAAACCAAAATAAAGCTTTCAACTCACATTTATCCAAAAAAAAATAACTCAATTCTGGAAGTAAACATAAAGAGAGAAAAAACAATTCAAATACGAAGTATCATTTTGTTCTAAAAAGACACTAGCGAGCCTCCAACACGAAGCAAAACATGAAAATCTAAATCCCAAAAACAACTTATAAAACCTCCAAACAAAACAACCCCAAAACCCTTCTTTTTTTTTTTTCTTTTTTTTTTATAAGAAACCCCCAAAGCCTTATCCGACACAAAATCACCGAGTGCTCTTATATTTGGCGTGGGGTGTAAATCCATGAAAATCTTCTAACAAGAAGTTTTCATGAGACCTTCCGCTATAAAACATTCACAAAGCATTTCTCGATGCAAAACGATTCACAAAGCTTATCGTAAAATTTCTCAATACAAAATAATTCGTAAAGCTTTCCAACTCCTAATAATAAGCTTGTTCTCATGTCAGATATACAAAACTGTCAAAAAGGTTCAAAGTAGATATCATGATATTAGAAGGACAGAGTGAAAATTTGTTGTCGATTTATTCTCCAAAACTCGAGAAATGTTTCAGTGTAATTCAAATTTACATATAATTCATCGTCAAAACAATTTGGGAAGTAATTCAAATATTTCCGCATCAAGTTTGTTTCTAAAAAAAAAGGTTTAAAACCCAATTCATGTCAAAATCTGCATTCGTTTCTCACAAAAAAAAAATTAACAAAAGCTCCATAAAAGTTGTAGGAATTCCCACAAAAAAGAAATAAAAGATTCTTCAAAGTGCCACAGGTATCATTGTATGAAAACAGTAAGAAAGCCCTCAAAATCTGCACTTATTCGTTTACAAAAATAGTTTAGGACTCGAATCAAATCACAAAAACTGCACTTATCCTCGTACAATGTCATTGCACAAGAAAATCAAGAGCTAAAACATCTATAGTATCAAACCTTTCACATCACATAAAGAATCGACCTTGGTGCAAATATCTGATATTCAAAACACAGGCTCTTTCATACAATACCATGTACAACAAATCAACCTCTTGCTATTTTCGAAGAGATAAAGTAACCATCTCTTTCTCAAAACCTATATAATTGGATTTAAAGAAATCTTCTCAGGTTTTTAACACAAACCTTCATAGCCTTTGTAATAAATAAGTAACAATGATGTACTCATAAGAAAATCCACAAAGTTTTCACATTGAATGAATATCAGCAATGCGACAGCAAGTTTGTTTTATATAAAGGCTCCTAATTCATTCCGTCATTGAAAAAAAAAACAAGTGGAATTAAAATATGTGAGTAGGCAACCAAGTGGAACAATTTCTTGTAGCAGCAATCAAAATTGATGAAAGTGGCAATACATAGGTGCTCATCAATACTTACAAATAGCTCGTTAAGATAACACCATGCCTACAAAGTGTAATCATACATAATAGATTTCCTACTTACGGCTCTAGGAATTCAAATATACCATAAGCTTTTTAACAATGAACGTTGTGCTTATCAGATCGCAAGAAAGCCATCACTTTATAATGCTGATCTTCCACTCTCAATTGCTACCACAATGTTATTAAATAAATAAATAAAGAGCATGATATACATGCTAAAAAAAAACGTGATTCATGGAATACGAAATTATTTTTTGGTGATACACAATAATACCATCTCATGGTTAAATTCAACAGGAGTCCTCCATGCTAACTATAATAATTTCATCACAAACAATAGCAAGGGAAGATAACCAAATTTTATTCAATAGCACTATGGATATCCAATGCTATGTCACTAGCCATATCTTTTACGTAGAAGCAATAGAATGAGTTCAGATCATTATTTCATTGTAACCCAATTTCATCAAGATCTATGCGAGAAAATAAAAGAGCATCGTAATTCCTTGATACTAGCAAAGTCTACAAATAGATCAATAGGAGGAGGTCATGTCACGACTGTAGAAAATAGAATAGTGAACATAAGAAATGCATCCATTCTTTCAAGCACAATACACTTATTTTAAGCACCTTCCCTTTCATTGAATCAAGCTAAAAGAAACCACCCTACTCAAACTTTTTTTTTTTTTAGGAGAAATCTGATTTGGAAGACTCGCACAAGAAAACCCCATGAAGAGCAAGTTAATGTAATACCATATATGTATCCTTTAGTAACCAATCATGTATATGAGGCACAAATCATGACCGAGAGAGTCCCAACATATACTTAGAACTTAACTTTTTTTGCATAGAATCAATTTAGTGACAAATGCATAATTATTGGAACACATGCCTTAAACTCCAAACTCAAGTCTCATATTCTCAAAAGAAAATCAAATGGAGGCCTCTTTCTTTTAGAGGAAGCAAACAAATGCTTGGTTGAAATCACTAAAGTAATCTACACAATATTCTCATGAGATAATCAAAGTTACATGTGATAACTAACATAAATACGCACAATGAGGCATCTTGCTTTAGTTATGTGTGAAATAAAATATCATCCCTTGAGCATCCTCACCTTTACAACACTTAACTTAATTTTATACTTCTCTTTTAACGGTCAACTTGCAACTTTATAAAAATATAGAGGTAAATCACAGCAATATCAAATAAGTACATAGGTAATGTTAGCTTCACTATCATGATCACTACTGAATCTACAAAACTGATGAAGAAATTTACCATAGAAAAATTCATCACCGTCCACAGATATTACATTCTATGATCCCAATGGCTCTTTGATCACCACGAATAATTCCATACGAACTTTCCCTCAGCAAAAATGCTCACAAGGTGGATGCACTACAGCTGAAAAAAAATGTATCTTTATATATATATAAATTGTAGCTCTTCACGGTAGAGAAACAGGAAAAAGACCAACTAATCTGCTAAAATCCACGGTAGAGAAACAGGAGAAGCCTTTGCTCCATCCGCTCAAGATAAGGAAAAGCTGGACATGGAAGATTCACTGCCGGGGAGAGGAGTTCGAGTTCAGGTAGGGCAAGTTGGAGGCGAGTCGGTCGAAGGAGTAGGAGGCAAGGGGGGCTCGGGGTACTCCTGGCTCGCGTAAGAGAGAGATCGGAGAGGGGGGGACGAACTGAGAAGAACCCCGAGAGGGGGAGGACCATCCGGGGCTGGAATGGTATCTCCTCCTCGCCCGTTAATGACGAGATTACGCCATTAAATTGAAGTAACGGCTAGTATTTGAATTTAGATGAAATCTCTGTCGTTGGATTGTTTTATTGATTTGGGAACAATTTCAAGTCATGAGAAAGTCAATAGAGCCTTAATTTAAATTAGATTTGAGTTGAAATCAGGCTCGACAGAATTTAATTAATGAAATTAAACCAGAATCAATGCAAACTCTATTTGAATCGGGCTCGATGAGGCTCGATTGAATCAATTAAAGGCCCTCGAGGATGCTCGAGCTAAAATTGAGGTCAACACTTATATCCTATGTAATCATTAGGTGGAGGTCTGTATTGTGCTGTCACCTTTGAAGTTGATTTGTGCAAACTGAGCTGCCATACCAAAAGTGAACTGAAGTCTGATTTTAATAATAGTAACAGCATGATTTGCCTAAAAGGCTCGCTCATTTTTGCATCCTGGATTGGAATATGTATGTGGCTGTTTGAATCAGACCAACATAGAATGTTGGGTGATAAAGTGATGTAGACAAAGGGGGGGTCAACTCATCTCCAAAATAATATGAATTTTGGCTTCCCTTGAGTCTACTAGCTTAATCAAAATTGAGTTAGAATTTTAGCTCATTTATGAGCTAGATTTTAATTCATTAAATGGAACTAAAAGATAGCTCATTATTAGCTAAGTTTTAGCTCATATTTATCTTTTATTTAATGCAATTTTATTATAGTTTTTAATGTCTTCTTTTATGATGTATCTTGGGTTTCAAAAAGGGCTTTTGGAATCCCAAGATAGTTGTTTAGTCTTCCCATGTATGACTCCTTGGCTCCCACCAAGGTTTTTAATTTTTATTGCTTTTTGCCCCCTTGGATTCCGGCCGGCTGCTGGTTTCCCATGCTTGGGCTCCCTCCCGTGACTATGGCCCCTTGGTTCCCGTGCAACCTCCTTGGCTCCCGCGGCTACCACTTCGGTTCTTGGGTTTGGGATGTTTTTTTGTGAAAAGCAATTAAGTTTTTAATGTTTGTGATGTTTAAAATTCCTATGGGAATTTAATGTTAGTGTCTTTTTGTATTCCCTTTCATACATATATATATGGGGGACTTGTAATGTTTGAAAGTTAGTAAATTGAATGAAATGTGATTTTTGGAAAAGCTATAACCTGCGGGTTTGCTTTGGAAATCCTGCGGGCTCTTTCCACCCTTCTTTCTCATCCCCTCCGGAAATCTTGCGGGCTCTTTCCAACCTTTCTTCTCGGGCTTCTAACCTCTTTCGTCTCTCCGCAAGTGCCACTCCACCTGTATCCTTCTTCTCTAAGTGAAGCAACTTTAGGGTGTCTTTTATTTTATTTGGAGTCGTTTGTAAGAGTTTAAGTTATTAAAATCAACATTTATAGTTTTAATTTCCGTTGCTTAGTCTTATTTAAGTTACCTCTTCTTTTTGAGGTATTTTGTGTCTTCTTTTATATAGGAAGTCCATCTTTCTTTTCATGATCGAAAAATATTGGCTCCCCTATATTTTTTGATTGCATCATAAAGTCTAGAGTCTCTAGACTATATCTCTGAATATTAAAACTACCTTAGTATTGTACAATGCATGTAATTTTCTTCCTAAGTGGTATCATTTTGACAAACTAAGACTCATTTAAATTTTGCTGTTTTGGTTCCACGTATAATCATAGAACCAATGGGGATGATGAATGGTCTAATTTGAAAGAAGCTCAATTTGTTGGGGTTAAGCCACACATTGAGCACTTATATGGATTTATTTGATCTTAAGGAAGGTTTAACCTTTCCCTAGTTGATATTGTTTGATTAAAATCTACTGGGTATAGGTGATTGGTTCTCGCAAGGATAGGGATAGAATTCCTGGAATTGATATAGCTCTTGATGATGGAGATGCATGGATGTTTGCAGGTCATCAGGTGCTTGTAATGGAGACCCCTGGCCACACAAAAGGTAGGAGTTATTATTTTAACTTGCAAATTAGCAATTTATTCCCTTTCCAGCGGCTTTCTGAGCATTGGCCTGCAGCATACTTAAATTATACATTTTTTCTTTGGAGTGGAATGTGTCTCGAATGTATCTGAAAAATTATACATTTTTCTATGAATTATGCTAGCTTTATTTTATTCGTTTATTTTTCCTTTGGTGAGCGACACAATCTTGATTACTTGCATAACGGCATTTGTTCTAAGGTTTTAAACATTGAACTGATCTTTTTATGCCATCCCCTCGAACCTCAAGCAAGAGACAAGGTGCATGGTTAGTTTCCTTTGTGTGCGTGTATTACAAACGATCTATACTGTTTCCCTTAGTTACAAAATGATTTGATTCTTTTATTCTAGCAATCAATAATTCTCATAAAGTATTGAGATGTCCCTGATTAGTCACATTTGGTGATGTGATTGTACCAAAACTCTGCAGCCATGCTGCCATGTTATGCGGATGCTTGTTAGTATAGGAAAATATATTGTTTGGAATGTTTTCTATATTTAGTGAGCGATGTATATTGATTAGGTGTATCCTAGGATAACGTACTCATTCCCTCATTATATATAGTGGGATCTTTATTGAATAATACACTCCTTAATATTCTTCTCCTCTAACATTGTTTCAAAGTAGAGCTAATTCTAGACCCTTCGTATCACCAATCCCCACCACGGCCAAAGCCAAAATCTCTCCCCTATTCGACAACCGCATGCAAGCCTAACCCCACTTGCTCCACAACTACATGCAACTCAACTTCCTCCCTTTTACGCCTTATCAAATCCTTTGAATGATGTTGCAAAGCTCCACATGAATTACAAAAAGAGTTCTCATCTTTCTTTTCTTTCACTTTTTTTTTTCATTTTGTTTATGAAGAAACGGAAGGGAGGGGATGGATGTATGACAAACAGATATGATAGGATCGTTGCAAGGATTCACGCCTCATTTTTTCTGTTTTAGATTGTTTTAACTAAAATTCTATTTTGGATTTAATTTAGGTAGTTTGGTCAATAGATTTCAAAAATTGGTTGAGTTTAAATTAAATTAAATCTGGGAAAATTTTTTTAGAAAATCTTGGAGATATATGGGGATCAGAGAGAAAGGACTGATGGAGAGAGAACCACATGGAAACTTTGCTGATTTCTATATATTCTCTTTTTCTGTTAAGGAGAGGAGAGAAAAAAAGGGCAGGTGTGGACGGAGTATGTGTGAAAATTTAGGATTTATGTGGGAGAAGAAAATTGCAGAAATTGTTCTAAATAACAACAAAGTTGTTGGGGATTTGTTTTTCTAGTGCAAAAGCAACTAGAAACAAAAAAAATAGAGCAAAACAGAAGTAATTTTTCTCTGAACTGAATTTACTAAACCGAGTTAGAATATGCAGTGTAATAATGAAGATCAGTAGAAAGTTGGAGCAAAGCAAAGAAAAGATGCCAAATAGTGAATTCGCAAGCCCTCAAGCCATTAGTTTTGAATCTTCATGGTAAGAAAACTAGGAAGCCAAATCAAGGGTTGCTGCAATTCTTTATTTAATTCATAATAATTTCAATTATCCAATCAGTGATGAAGTTTCATGCATATTATCCTCTATGTAAAGAAAAGAAAATTCAAATTATGGATAACTTATCCCTATGCTTATCAAATTCGAACTAATAAAAAAATATAATTAAATAAATAAACAAAGTTCGGCTGTAAATGTTATTGCTCAAAAAAGCATTAAAATCGGATTAGTGTAGCTCATTTGTTACCTTCTTTGACTCTTTGGGGTTGCCCTATGAGAAATTGAGCTCGTCTTAATCGACTTATGGAATGGTTAAATCCATCATGTTTCTATTGAATGCATCTTATGATTGGTTTTCTTATGTTTCAGTTTCACAACCAATGTTCTTTTTATAACTAAGTCATTTCTCGAAAGCCCTAAATAATTTATTTATCACTTGTGAAACTTTTGAACAGGTCATGTAAGCTTTTACTTTCCAGGGTGTGGAGCAATATTTACAGGTGACACCCTCTTTAGCTTGTCATGTGGAAAACTCTTTGAAGGAAACCCTGAGCAGGTGATTTTTGTTTGAGCATCTAATGCCATCATGAGCATTTGCTCTGTTCAGGCAACCATGAGCTTGCTCTACAAATATTTGGATCATTCTTTTTGTTCCTTGTTATTCAATTTTTGTCTAGACTTATCAATAGTTTGACAAGTTCACTAGCATCAAAATTTGTTTTGATTGCTTTCATGTGTGTGCTAATTTTCTTACTGATTTACTTGTTGGCCATCTTGATTTTGAGGGTATAATTATCCATAATCCTCAAATATTATGTTAGTTATATGGATGCATATACGCCTGCTTATCTTGGGCTCATTAGTTACTCTGATTTCTAAGTTTCTTTCCAGCGCTAGATGCTATGAAGGGTTATGTAACATGTTGCAAGAATAGAAGAATTCTAACCGAACCTCAAGTATTTGTGATAAAACTAACTGTTGATTATGATTGTAATCATGATGTTGTGTTAATTATTTTTTTATGTGTTCCCCTAATATGAACTAATAAAAAGGGTCTTGTGGGATCCGAAAAATTCCATTTTGGAATGTGTGATCCCGGCCTCTCCATGTCATTCGTCAATTTTTCTTTTAAATATTTGTGTGACGACGATGATAGAGAGTTTTAACGAGATTAGGTTCCGGGGGAATTTTCAGAAGGCAGATTGGGTTTTAGATAAGACACTACCCAGAGATTTCGCCCTCATTTAGTGAGGGCTTTTTAATCTGAGTTCTGGTTTCCTTAATCATGATGTTGTTTTAATTATTTTTTTATGTGTTCCCCTAATATGAACTAATAAAAAGGGTCTATCATTAAATCTCATTTATTTGCATAATATTATTGATTTGTTTGAAGAATTGCTTTAATATGCCTCTTCTTTATCTATTTCTTCCATTTTAACAATTCTATCGCATCCTAGTATGTCATTTCACATAACTTTCTCACCACGCCACATGCGACTTGCTTGTCATCGCTCTCAACTAACATACTATATAGACATAGCTTACGTTCAAGCATGTTTCGTGCTCCTCATCTGGCAATAAGTCATGTGCTACCTTGTCGAGTAAGTTTTTCTTCTCTATCATAGGTAAAACCCTAGCCATCCTTATCCTTTGATTCAATCTCTTCTTTCCTTGAACAATTCATGTGACTTTTCTTGCGTCATTGGCCCCTTCTTTATCAATCCTGACCCTTCTTTATCAATCTCTTCCATTTTTACAATTCCATCGCATCCTAATATGTCGTTTCACATAACTTTCTAACGCCACGTGATTGACTCATCATCTCTCTCAACTAGCATGCTATATAGACTTCGCTTATGCTCGAGCATGTTCCATGCTCCTCATCTGATAATAAGTCATGTGCTACCATTGTCAAGTAAGTTTTCTTCTGTCTCTGCTCTTCGACTTAAAATTGTCTCGTGCCATTAATGATTTTCAAAACTAGCTCAAAATAAAAGTGCCTCAAGTTTACGATTGTAGAAAACCCAAATGGAATTGAATAACATTTTACTTGCTAATAATCATGGACATAGGAAGTGGGTAATATTCTGTATTTAAATTAAGAAACCATCATTCACAGTAGTTGCAGTCCCACACCCACTATGCTTTAAGCTTCATTTTTTAAACAACCTGATCCAATTTAAATGTAAGCATGGAAGTTAGATGTCACAGGAAGTTTAAATTACTCTTTGCATACCAGGTGTTATAATTGACTATTCAATGGCTGTTTGTTCTCAGCCTACACTATTTTCTTGAATGAGGTGTCTGTGTGATTGTTTTCTTTCAGCCAAGAATTTCATGAAGTTTTTTTTATCCTTCATTGCAGATGCTTTCTTCACTTCAAAAAATCATGTCCTTGCCGGATAACACGAATGTATACTGTGGCCATGAATATACTTTGGTATATAGTTTATTTAAACTTTAGAATTTTGTATTAATGTTTGGATGAACTTATCCTTATGTAAACTCATAACAGAATCATCAATTCTAAACAGAGTAATTCAAAGTTTGCCTTATCCATAGAACCCAAGAACGAGCATCTGCTAAAATATGCTGCGGAAATCTCTCAACTGCGCGGCCAGAATCTTCCAACGGTAATTACTCTTAATCTTTGCAGGCAATTCGGGATCAATATTATATATATATATATATATATATATGTCTGTGATGAGGCATAAGCATGAATAGATGAATGCATGTATGAAATATATATATATATATATATATTCTGTCAAAATATCCTTATTAAGGGTTTGTTTGGGGCAGCTTTTTTACTGCTTCTTAAAGCAGCTTTTTAGTACAAAAATTAAAATTTTTATACTAGAAAGCTACTTTAAGAAATAGTAAGAAACAGTCCCAAACGAAACCTAAGTTTGTATCATAATGGAGCTAATATTACTACTAGTATCATTGATTTCACATGTTATGAGTTATCCCTTGATACAACTAAATTATTAGATAACATAATTAAATTTGAAAAAAATAATTACAACTAAATTATTAGGTAAAGAATTTTATTTAATTATACTTTTGAATATCTAACAGTTTAATTGTATTTATCTTTTAGATTTAGGCTTCATTTGGGATGGCTTTCTTACTTCTTCTTAAAGAAGTTTTTTTAACTTTTGTACTAAAAAGTTGTTTTAAGAAGTAATAAAAAAGTCGTCCCAAACGAAGCCTTAGCTGTTCAGAGAGGTAAGATATTTGTGTGAAATTAAGGACTTGTATGATAAAATTAGGCCCATCCTCAGGATATCCAGACCTTTTTGTTCAAATAAAAGCAGAAATGCACTCTTTTTAACTGAAGTAGCCAATAATTTCTGCTAAATTGTAGTAAATGAGGCATTTTACTGTATCACTGATGTCTCAGATTCCAACAACACTGAAGAGAGAGAAGCAATGCAATCCATTTTTGCGAACCTACAGTGAAGAAATCCGGCACAGCTTGAACATACCACCCACTGCCACTGATGCTGAAGCATTGGGAATCATTCGCCGAGCAAAGGACAACTTCTAAGGTGCTTCTCAGAATTGATAAAGAAGCTATTTTATAGATTCTTGTGCATAAATTTTCTTAATTTGCTTGTATGGAATTGTTATACTCAAGAGTTCTTATTGATCAACTCTTCTTTGCAGTTGGAGTTAATTTCAATCTTGTTCTTTTTAACATAATGGTAAATTCTGGCAGCCTTTACTCCATGTTATTACGGGAAGAAAGTTGGAGAAATTATAATGTGCAGATATTAGACCGTTTGGAGACGAATTAGAATGTGCCACATCAACCGGTACACAACAAAAAAGTGAAGTGGCTCGCTCTGATTCACCTCTCTGGATGGCATCCATATCCACACAGAATAATATATCTGAAATATGATCACTTTACCATGTGTTTATAATGAAGTTCTCAGTTTGGTTGTTGCAGTTGTCTCTATAATGATGTAGGAGCCATTCCTCTACAGAATGGTAAGAATTTTTTTTTCTCTCCTCTTTCACTGTGTCTGCTTGGCGAGAGATTATTACGTGCGGAGTCTGGACAAAGAGAATTGTTCGGTTTTGTGACTGTGAACAGTAAAGCACAGTTACTGTTCAGTCACAAAACCAAACAATTCTCTGTGTTCGGACTCCGTATATAATAATCTCTCATGTTTGGCATGGGTTGATATTTTGTTGAGATTTTAGTGGAAATTGGGTTTTACAATTTTCTTTCTTATAGTTTAGATAATAAGATTTACATACATATATAATTTTTATGTATTTACATTTCAAATATCTAAATTTTATATTTATTTATATTACTCTCATATCTTTAAATTACATTAAAAATATTACTAATATTAACTTTCTTTAAGTGAAATATATCTTTTTCATCAGTATGTTTTGATACAATTGAGATATTAAAGAGCTATATAAGTAAATATAAGTATTTGAGTGTTAGATATATAAATTTTGAAAAATTGTGGTATTTATGTAAATTCCTCATATTTAATATATATATATATTTAGAAAAATTATGTGGTGCCATCATTTTTGCCCTCTCAATCCACATTATCTTTCTTCAATGCATTAAAATATGTATTTCCTTTTTAAAGCTACAATAAATGTATCTGTGGGCACCAAAAATGTAAACTTCATAGTGAAGATTCAATTAAATCTAATTGATTATTATTAAATCTAGCTCCTTTAATTATATCAATATTCTAAAAGTTATTACATTATTTAAAAGAAATTTCACCTTTATTTTTATGTTTTATTAGTGTAACTAGATTGAACCAATTGAATCAAATTGAGATTTAATAAAAAATGTTCTTAAGTGGTGTATATACAAATAGATTATTTTGAACCTTAAACCAACATACAAAACCATGGTTAAATACATGGGTTAGAAGGGATGAACATAATATAATTTGCCAATGGGTGTTTCTCCTTGTTTAGCTTCCAATCATGATGATAGTGCACCTGAAATTTGCCTAAGTTCATTTCAAGCTTCCAAGTGTTTGAGATAGGATGGTTTGTGAATGAATTAACCAAAATATGGTTCATCAATAGACATCTTTGAGCTATAAGAGAAACCATAAGCAAGTGGCCATGATTGTGCATTGACTCAATTCCTAGTCACCTACAATGTCCCTCTACACTTCCGAATACTTTCGGCCACTATTATCGAGGGCTCACTACCAACAATAGATTAAGTTTCAAACACACTATGGTGATTTCTAATGGTGATTGTAGACATTGAATGTCAAGTAGAGCTCTAAGGTTCTTCAGATCTGCAAGCTCTATTTAATCTCAAGTCTAGTCATCTTTCATGTAGAGAATATGACTCTAATTATGTTATCAGGGGAGTGACATATTGATAGAGTTAGCCAATTTTTGTAAACCTCCATTGAACAATTTCAATTGAATCATTTGATCATAGACTATTTGTTTCGCATCTAAGTATCTTAATGATCTTGAACTCATTGAATTCATCTTTTGAAGCTACTCGATTTGATTATATGTAAAGTTTGAAGATCGTTTAGTCATTCAACTAATATTTTATGTCATACTTTAATTACTTAATTAAGCTCATTTGGACAAATGAGGTCATTTTTTGTGGCAGTGATTTTGTCTTGTTAAGATGCTCAATTTGACCATATGTTTGCTGAAATTGAAATTTGGATAGTTTTTTATTTCGTGATATAAATAATGCATGAAGATTCATTGTAATCAACATATCAAAATTAAATAAATTTATTTAGATATAATATCTAATTAAAATCAAGTAGATTTGATTTAAAATTTTAAATTAATGAACTTTTTTAAGAGTAGAGGGAATATCTAATGAGATTGGAAGTACCTATAAGAGTGAAAAAAATTTTTGTGGATATCCACAGGTACTTCCAACTTTAAAATATCAATTAGGTATCCGTGGATATCTTCAAATTGATTATAATGAGGTGTATCCTAAGTTGGACGTTCACTCACACTAAGTCGTGATGAAGATTGTTGTTGCAGGAAAGTTGGGTACTCACATAAACTAAGGCGGCCATGAAAATCAACTTCTACAATTCTTGTGTTCTCTCTTGCACTCACCCGCAAGGCAACGGACATCGAGTGGGCCTAATAAACAATTTTTTATTTAGTCATGCATGGATATGTTCTCAAGGATGCAAACAAGTTGTACCACATAAAGCACCATCAAAAGCGATAGTAAGAACTCACATATACACTTGAGTAGATGGGCCCGCAACATCTGTTTGTGGTATTTCATCAACCTCTATGTACACGACAACCGTATGGGTTTTAGTCTCCATCAACATGAACTCACAAACATCATCATCGACGACACGTGTCACAGAACCCACAATTATCACAGAAATGACATGTGAGGTTAATATTGTTTGTTGTTGATTTTGTCCTTAGTACACGCATAATTCGTAGTTTCAATATTGCAAGCGAAATGTTGTCATCTACAAGGAGCGGACGATTTCTACTACTTAAATATTTGGTGTGAACTCGTCCGTAATAAGTAACTTAACCTCCAATATAATATCAATCACGACATACTACGAACAAAGGAGAGCATATGTAAATCCTCTAGTTATGTTAAAGGGTATAAATTTACCATAGCAACTCCTAATTATAAATTCCAATATTGAACAAAGTTTTTTCTTCAGTTATGCATATTTAATAATGTAATTAATTATTAATTATTTTGAATACTAATCATAATTAATTATTAATTCCTTATGGCTAGTAATTATAAGTAAATACTAATCATAAGCAACTCGCTCCACTTATTGCTCATACCTAAATTTTATGATTTTAATTCAGATAATAAATTGTTTTTTATCTTATTTGATATCTGGTTTTGATTCTCAAAATTTTATTGGTAAAGGTAAGTTAGCATATATTGATTACTTATTATAACTTAACATGTTAACATATATTAATTGAAAATGATAAGTAAGTTCACTTATGTTAATTTGATTAATCTTAGGAAAGTAATTCAATTTTTAAATATATATGACTTCATTTTAACATAAAATTTCATAAATATTTAAGTTTAATATAGAAAAAATTGACAATATTATTAAAAATATAAACTATCATGTTGATTAATTATAACGACTATTGAATGTAAATTTTAAATTTTAAAAATAAACTTATTGATTTTAAAATTAACATATTGAATTATTACAATAATTTTAAAAATACATTTCCAAAATTGAAATTCAAATATTCTAAATATATAAATTTGTTACCCTGAAAAGTTATAAAGATATGAATAATACGTCTGAACTATCACTGGAAATATTAAAATCATAATCTTTTTTTTGTGATGTCTAAGGTTTTCACTCGCGGCTCCTTCAGTCGGGTAACCTCGCCTCTTCTTCCTTAATCCTTTTTTCTCTCACTTTTCTTCCTAAAAGTAGACATGGCTGTTCATCACTTGAGTGACCGCCGTTTCTTGGATGTAAAACACAAATCGCGGTCTTTTTGTGAGGTTTTGTCTGGTGAGTTGGCTTCTCTGACGTTTCCTCCGCTCAAACCTTCTTCTTGTCATGGTTTGCCAGCTTTGTTGATTTTAGAAGATGAAATGAGTTCTCTTGTTGCTCCGTTCAAGTTTGCTTAAGTTGGGAAGTTCCTTGCTCGTCGCCCCTCGCTCGATACCATTTCGTAATTTTTTTTTTTTTTTTTGAATTTGAAATTGATTGGTGAATTTTCTGTTACTTTGTTGAACTCTAAGAATATTTTGATTAAACTGAGAAATGATTTGGATTACTGTCAGGTGTTCTCCCACCATTCCTATTTTGTCAACAATTGTTATATGAAGTTTTCCAAGTGGTCTCCTCAGTTTGATGTGAATGTTGAATCTCCTGTTATTCCCATTTGGTCGTTTCCCTACCTTCGCCTGCATCTCTTTTCCCCTCGCATTTTGCATGGGTTAGGGTCTTTATTTGGTAGACCATTGTGTACTGATAATGCTACTATTAGTAACACTAGACCTTCGGTGGCTCGTATACTTGTTGAGTTAGATATTACTAAATATTATCCTAATCAAGTGTGGCTTAGCTCTGCTTCGATGGGGTACATTCAATCTGTGGAGATGGAAGAATTTTTCCCGTATTGCTCTCATTGTAAACCTTTGGGTCATGTGAGAGATGTTATCCTGATTTTGTTTCCTAATTTGGGTCATGTGAGAGATGTTTGCCCTCCTGTGGTGGATGGACCTTTGGTAGGTGCTCATACTTCACAAAATGCTGGTGATATTCCTCCTTTCATTGGGGTGGATCATTGTGTTGGTGATGTCCCTCTTGCTGATGGGGGTGCTCCTTTTATAATTAAATGCTAGAGAGCAAGAAAATATGGCTACATTGGTTGAGGGTGATGTTGATTGCGTTAATTCTGATATATAATTTAGTTTTTTCTAATGTACCTTTCCTTGAGTCAGTGGATGTTAATTTGATTAAAGATAGTGTGGATGAGGATTATTGTGTTGCTTTGGCTCCTGGCAAATTTCGCCTAATGTTCTTAAGTCTCAGATTTTGTTAAGCTCAGGGGAGTCATGTTTGAGGCAAATTGATTGGTTGGATGATTCTCAAGACTCTTCGTGTGATTTGGAGGATGACTTGGGTTTGTATGGTTTGGAGGTTTCTTTGGAACCCCCTTTCTCTCATGGTGGCAAACGGTGTCGATGCAAATCTAGGATATAAGAATTTTCTTTCTCCTTTTGTTTTCGTTTGCAAGGCTAGCTATTTTTTGTTTATCTTGTGCTACTCTCATTTTTTGGGTTGGGATATTCTGGTGCGGCCCATTTTGGCTTGGTTTTGGTGAGCTATGGCTCGGTTGCTTGGGTTATTTACCTGCTTTAGTTATTTACTTGCTCTATCATGGTTTTGGAATTAGCTTTGGATTATGATGAGGCAGTATCCCTGCATGCCCCACGAATGACCATGGCTTGGTTTGAAACCTTGGTGGTCCTTTTCCTTATCAAAAT